TGTATTTTTGGATTTATTTTCAGTTTTTGAATTATTACTATTCTGGTTTTTAAATTTTCTAAAAAATTGGTTAAATATTAGCTAACATTTGCTTGCCTGGAAAGTGGATGTTAGCCGCCATCAAGTTCCCACGGTTAGGATAGTGACACTATTGATACCCAATTATTCCCTATGTATATTTTAATATGCAAATTACTTTCAAAATAGTATATGTATGCATATATAAGCATATCCGAGCGTTTCCTTATTTTTCCCTAATTTTAAAGGATTTTTAAATCACTTTATGTCACGACCCGGATTTCCCACCATCGGGATCGTGATGGCGCCTACTCGTAGTAGCTAGGCAAGCCAACTTATTTACCTTTCAATAATAATTAAATTTGTTAACAATCTATAGCATCAATAAGAAATATGGAATTTAATAATAATAATAATAATAGCGGAAGTCTAATTTATAAGTCTGAATCAAAACGAGGAATAGTCAACAATAGCCTCTACCCAAGATTTGGTGTCACATTACTCACAAACCACTAAGAATGAACTAAATACAAAGGTCTGAAAGAATTATAACAGCTGTCTGTCTCAAAAACAATGAGGCGACAGTCAAAAGGAAAACATAAAGAAGAGACGCCGGGCCTGCGGACGCCTGCAAGGCTACCTCAGTCTCGTGAATAGGAAAGTCTGCTCCCGAACTACTGCTGCTGCTGCTCCTCAAAACCTGGACCTGTGCAAAAATGCACAGAAGTGTAGCATCAGCACAACCGACCCCATGTGCTGGTAGTGTCTAGCCTAACCCCGGCGAAGTAGTGACGAGGCTAGACTGGACATCACATAAACCTATGCAGTTATAAATATACAGCGGGAATCGAATATCAAGTAATTAACAACAAGGGGAGGGAGACATGCTAAGGGGAGATACAATATTAACAGCAATCCAGAGTAACAGCTAAAACAGCTTAAGTTCACAATGAACAAAGAATCAATACTCAAATACAAACACATAGCCTCAATAACTGTTGCGGCGTGCAACCCGCTCCACAATTACTATTGTTGCGGCGTGCAACCCGACCCATATCATTTATCATGTATCATTGTTGCGGCGCGCAACCCGATCCTCAATATCATTTATCAAGTATCATTGTTGCGGCGCGCAACCCGATCCTCAATATCATTTATCAAGTATCATTGTTGCGGCGCGCAACCCGATCCTCAATGTCATTTAACAGTCCGACTCCCCAAACAACAGTCACAATTAAGGGGCATAAAAATAAGCAAATATTTGACAAACATCCCGGCAAGGGAATAACCAACAACGCTTTCTCTTTCTTACTTTTCTTATCTTATCATTCACTCTACTATTTTGAGCCAACGCTCCGAAGAATCAAGTCATTTCGTATGATTTCAATATTCGTATCACAATTCGAGCCTATGCTCCCAGGAAATCAAATGATCATATTACCGTTCACATGCTATTCACAACATATAGAAATCCTCCAATACACACGGAGTTCACAACCAAGTCATGATAATCACGTTATAAGGACTCACGGTCATGCTAGCACCAATGTATAGATACTCGTCACCATGCCTATACATCGTACTCGATCACATAGCAATTAGCAACAAGACTCAACTCCTATTCCCTCAAGCTAGGGTTAGACCAAACACTTACCTCAAAGCCTTGAAATCCACTTAATCCTCAACTACTGCTTTACCTCGCGGTTCCACCTCCAATTCGCTCGAATCTAATCACAAATTGCTCAATTACTTTAATAAACATTATATGAATCAATTTGAATGCATAAAAATGAGTTTCCCAAGTTTTTTTCCCAAAAATTCCAAAATCGCCCCCGGGCCCACGTGGTCAAAACTCGAGGTTTGAACCAAAATCCGGTTACCCATTCCCCCACGGGTTCAAATATATAATTTGTTTTGAAATCGGACCTTAAATCGAGGTCCAACTCCCCAATTTATGGAAAACCTAGGTACCACCCAAAAAACCTCAATTTCACCCATGAAAATCCTTGATTTCAAGTGGAAAACATGTTTAATGATGTTAAAAGTTGAAATAATTGAGTAAAAATCAACTTACAAATGATTTGGGATGAAGTTTGCTCTTGAAAAATCGCCTATGGTGTTTGGGTTTTGAAAGAATGGTGAAAAGTGATGAAAATTCGACTAAGTATAAAATTTGCTGGGCCTCGGATATTGGAATTGCGAACCATAGTTCGCAATTGCAAACAAAACAGGGCTGGGAATTGCGACATTCTTAGTTCGCATTTGCGAACCCATGTCTGGTGGCCAGGTTTCGCTTTTGCGAACATTCGATCGCATTTGCGACCAGGGCCACCTCGCATTTGCGAGCCAATGGATCGCATTTGCGATCCCAAGCCTTTTCCCCAGACTTCGCATTTGCGAAGTGTTGATCGCATTTGCGACAGTGCCCCATTTTCCCAGACTTCGCAATTGCGAAGCAATGCTTGCATTTGCGAGCTCGCAATTGCGAGTCTTCCCTTCGCATTTGCGAAAATTGCAGAAGCCAGCATACCAGATTTTTAAAACATGTGAAATGCAATCCGATGCCTATCCAAAACTCACCCGAGCCCTCGGGGCTCCAAACCAAACATGCATACAACCTCAAAAACATCCTACGGACTTGCTCGTGCAATCAAATCGCCAAAATAACATCAAAATCATTGAGTCAAGCCTCAAAACACACGATTTTTCTTCTAAACTTCATAAACTTTCAAACTTGGAACTTATAGTCCGAAACATGTCAAACGACGTCCGATTTCGACTAAACTTTTTCAGAAAGCGCTTAACACATATTTAAGACTTGTACCGGGCGTCGGAACCAAAATACGAGCCCGATACCATAGTCTTGTAATAAATTTTTATTTCTATTTTCCTTAATAATTTCAGAAAACAATTTCACGGAAAAATTCATATCTCGGGCTCTAGGCCTCAGAATTCGATTCCGGGCACATGCCCGAGTCCCATATTTTTCTACGGACCTTTCGGGACCGTCCAATCTCAGGTCTGGGTCCGTTTACCAAAAATATTGACCAAAGTCAACTATAATCATATTAATATCAAAATTCTTCAAATTTTTCACGGAATTCACATATTTCAACATAACAGCTTTCCGGCTACGCGCCGGGACTGCACACGTAAATTGAGGCAAGTAAAAAAAAGAGGTTTTAAGGCCTCGAAAGCACAGAATGGATGAGGAAATAGGTGATGACCCTTTGGGTCGTCACAATTGGTTTCCCTGCTGATTTCAAATTCACTAAAAGCAAGAAGATGCAACATAATGCAAAAGGAAATTCAGCTACTACAATAGAGGATACAGGAGAAGTTTGCAACAAAATGGCAGAAGGACCTCAATTTGCTCAGAAACTTTCATCAGATCAGTTCAATCAACTGGTCAATCTTCTGAATCAAATGCAAACAGGGCAGGGAGGCACCCAGGAGGTTAATGCAAATTCTGTTGCTGGTATATTACTTACCAACTCCCCAACCTGTTATTCCATTTCTAATTCTAACCTTGCAGACTCCTGGATCATAGACTCAGGAGCAACTGAGCACATGTGTTTTAATGCCAGTACATTCCTATTCTTATTACCCTTACCCACTCCTATAATGGTAAGGTTACCTAATTCCTCTAGAGTTAAAGTCACTCACTCGGGCAGTGTTTCCTTATTTCCAGGATTAGTGTTGGAACATGTTCTTCATATTCCTAGTTTCAAATACAATCTACTCTTTGTTCATAGACTCTGTCAAAGATTCAAGTGTCTATTGGTTTTCACTTCTTCTGGGTGCATTTTGCTGCAGGGCCCTCTCCTGAAGGGTCCACAAGTTTTTGGTGAGGCTAAAGAAGGACTTTACTTAGTATAGCCTACTGTGACAGAGTCTAGGCACCTTTCTTCACAAACTGCAGCATCTTTGTTTAAGAAGCCTATTTCTAATTCAGTTTCAACTTGTTTTTCTTTTCCTATTTTAGCAAAAACAGAATCTGATGTAATGTTATGGCATGTAAGATTGGGGCATTTGCTTTTCAATGCAATGAAACACATCAATTCTATCTCATTTCTTCCTACTCATATTTGTGATTGTGATGTTTGTCCTCAAGCAAGACAGTCTAGATCACCATTTCCAATTAGCCACATCAAAACTAACCAAGCTTTTGATCTGATTCACATTGACACATGGGGACCTTATAGGACACCTACTCATAATGGATACAAATATTTTTTAACAATAGTGGATGATTTCAGTAGAGCAACATGGACTTATCTGTTAAGCACAAAGAGCAATGTCTTTTCTGTTTTAAAATATTTTTTAAGCATGGTGGAAAGACAATTCAATGCTAAAGTGAAGATCATCAGATCAGATAATGATTTAGAATTAGGAAAAGCAACTGCTGCATCTCTATTTTTGGAGTCTCAAGGCATTCTGCATCAAACTTCATGTGTGGGTACTCCACAACAAAATGGCATTGTAGAGAGGAAACATAGACATTTGTTGGAAGTGGCCAGGGCTTTACTGTTTCAATCCAAGGTACCTATATCCTATTGGGGAGAATGCATATTGACAGCTACATTTTTAATCAACAGATTTCCATCTAAGGTTCTTAAGGGTAAAACCCCCTATGCATTATTGTTTGGCCAATCACCCTCCTATTCCTTCTTAAGAAGTTTTGGTTGCTTATGCTATGCCTCTACTTTGTCACATCATAGAGGTAAATTTGCACCTAGGGCAAAGGCATGTGTTTTCATGGGGTATCCTGTTGGACAAAAAGGGTACAAACTATTGAATTTGACTACCAAGAAGCTGTTTGTTTCAAGGGATGTTCATTTTCTTGAACATATTTTTCCATTCACCTATCTCAATTCTTCTATACTAGATCCCCCTTCTCCATCAGTTCAAAATCCTTTAATTTTTCCTCCTCCTTCATTTCCTTTCATCCCTGATCCTTCCTCTTCACCATCAGATCCATCACTATCTACACCCACACTCCCACCCCACCTAACCGTCCTCCTACATACACAGATTCACCTGCTATTTCCCCTGCTCAACTACCTGCCTCCCTTAATTCCCCTGCTCCTTCTCCTATTTCTTCTTCTCCCTCTATTCCCCTCAGGAGATCCAACAGAGATAATCTAGGCACCCTACCAGGTTATCTAAAGGACTATATTTGCAATCACATCTATTTCACTGATCTTACCAAATCCTGTTTTTCTACTCCTTGTTCACCAACTCCGTTCTCCTTTTCTGCTCTTTCCATTTCTAACCAGCATCTCATTCATTCTCTCTCTACCATTTCAGAACCAACCTCTTACAATCAGGCTTGTTCCAATCCAGGTTGGGTCTAAGCCATGGATTCTGAACTCCAAGCCTTAGAAGAGAATCACACCTGGGATGTAGTTCTCTTACCTTCTGGCAAGAAAGCTCTTCCTTGTAAATGGGTTTACAAGGTCAAGTATCATGTTGATGGCTCTATTGAGAGGTTAAAGGCCCGGTTGGTTATCAGAGGTGATGTGCAGAGAGAAGACATTGACTACACCGAAACCTTCTCTCCAGTTGTCAAGATGACAACCATCAGATGTTTACTTTCTATTGCAGTCAAGAAAGGGTGGCCTATTTCTCAATTTGATGTGAGTAATGCTTTTCTCCATGGGGAGTTACAGGAAGAGGTTTACATAAAATTTCCTGCTGGTTTATCTTCCCCCAGTCCTAACCATGTTTGTCGACTTAAAAAGTCTCTTTATGGCTTGAAGCAAGCTTCAAGACAGTGGTATGCACGACTTGCTGGATCCCTCAGTTTTAAGGGATTCTCTTCCTCCCTAAATGATTATTCCCTATTTTTTAAACACACAGGGGATCTCATTTCCATTGTTGCTGTATACATGGATGATATTCTAATCACAAGCAATAATTATGCTGAATTATCAGATCTTAAAGGCTTTCTACATTCTGAGTTCAAAATGAAGGATCTTGGGCCTCTTCACTACTTCTTAGGCATGGAAATTCTAAGGGAGCATGATGGAATTATTATAACTCAAAGGAAATTCACCACTGACCTGCTTGCTGAATTTGATTGCACCACTCTTCCACTGGTTTCTTCTCCAATTGATCCATCTTCCAAGTTGACAGCAAATTGTGGAGCTCCTTTATCTGATGCTTGCCTCTATCGTCGTCTTGTTGGCAAGCTCAACTATTTTACTCACACGCGGCTTGATCTCTCATTTGCTGTTTTGACTCTCAGCCAGTATATGCAACGCCCTTGCATTGGGCACTTCACAGCAGCTTTACGAGTTCTTAGATACCTTTGCTCTAACCCTAGCCAGGGTTTGTTTCTCAATGCTCGGCCCTCTTTTGATTTATTGGCCTTCTGTGATGCTGATTGGGCTTCTTGCCGTGATAGTCGTCGCTCAGTCAGTGGTTTTTTCATCAGTTTGGGTGGTTCACCGGTGTCTTGGAAATCTAAGAAGCAAGCTTCCGTGTCTCTATCTTCCGCTGAAGCGGAGTATCGTTCAATGCGTCGCCTCGTGGCTGAGCTTACTTGATTAACTGGTCTTCTCACAGATCTATCTGCTCCTTCTCCGATTCCGGTTCCAATTTTTTCTGACAGCCAGGCGGCGATACATATTGCCCGAAATCCCGTTTTTCATGAAAGAACCAAACACGTTGAACTCGATTGCCACTTTGTGAGGCAACAGTTCCTTTCCGGCCTCATCTCTCTCTGTTTTATACCCTCAAAACTCCAACTTGCTGATTTGTTCACAAAACCCTTGTCAGGGCCCTCTCACAAATCGATTCTTGGCAAGTTGGGGGTATCTTCTATCCCCTCCAACTTGAGGGGGGGGTGTTGGAATACATCAAGAAATTTCTCAACCTCACTCTTTAATTCTCAACAAAGATTTCACTCAGAAGAGGAGAAAAGGTTCGATGAAAAAGAAGAAGAGAAGAAAGGATTTTTTGGACAAAAGAATTTCGGACAAAACTAAGCTGAAGCCCTTTTGTGTGATAAGCCATGTGGCAAGCCACGTGGCACCATCTCAGCCAACAAGATCAATTAATGAAGATATAATCTGGACCGTCCATTGCACATGCTGAAGGAATATTAATTAGTTATATTGTTAGGATATAGCTAATAGAAATAAGACAAGTGTACATAATTCATAGGGTAGTTTTATTTTCAGATTCTTTCCTAGGTAGCAAAATATCTGTATAAATATACAGTCTTCTTGTACAGTGATTCATTGAGAAATACAGAAATTTTCATAATCATCTCTCTAAATTCCTACAGTAGTCTTAGTATTGTTAATTCCAAATCGCCTTTTCTTATTCAAGATTGTATGTTGTCAAAATCCAAGAAAAACGTACCCTTGTGCAGATACGAAACACAAGCAAATTAGTACTTATTTTTCAGTTGGGGTACTTCAAGTGTATTGCGATCTCAAGAAATGATGTGTAATGAAATTAAAGAATAACATCTTATTTTACTATGAAACGATATAATAGATCTTTTAGTACTCCTTCAGAATTACTATTATATTCCCTCCTAGAAATATATGTTTTTTCGACAGATGTTCTCATCGAAATTTCATTAAAAATCCATGAGAATTAATTTTGGATAAGTATATTTCTGACAGACATTTGTTCTAATAGTGTTTTTTCTCATATGGAGTTTTAAATGTATGCGTAACACATCAATTAGTACTAGCCATTATTGAACGTTTTAGACTCTCGTCTTAATACTCAACACAACATGGCATTACCTTTGAGATGGAGAAAGTATTTACTCTTTTATCTGCTTAATTTTTTTTCAGCAATGACTACTCATATACGTAAGAATAATGTGGAAACAGGGTTTACTTTTTTTTTTTTTTGGGTTAATAGCTTTTATTAACCAAAAAAGTATCATCTATCCAGGTAAGAGTCGGCCTCCTGCTGACTATAAGAAAACGAAATAATGCTCATCTAGCCATCTCACAAAGGGAATGAATTCAGCAGACTCGAGGACTTGCGCCATTTTTTGAAGTTTTGTCCTCTGATGTGGACATGCATTGCTATTTCTTTACTAACTCGATCTTCATCATAGATGCTTTTCTAAAACCTTAGCATATTCCTCTTCCTCCATATAACATACTGTAATATGGCTTAATTGGCTTTACAAGAAAAGGTTGATTTTTTCTTTATTGTAAAATCCGACTCATTCTTAGTTGGCAAATAGGCATGTGCCTATAAGGAAGATGTGCTTGGCACAGAATTATTCTTGGCCACCAAGTTTGGATAAGTGGTGGAGATCTCTTGCAAGTTGGCAACTTGCCTTTGTGAACTTGCAAGTGTAAGGAAAATGATTAGATAATATTGACTAAGAACAAGAAGGAAAGAAGACTACAACTTATCAAAAATACAGTGTCGTGGCAAGCCACTGCCTTGAAAGCGATTTCGGCCCGACTAGGTGCAAATCGTTAAGACTGGTCGCTCCCCAAGGTTCCACAGCACCTCCAAACACGTGCACTCGTGGCTGGAAGTTTAGAATTTGCACAAAACAGTTGCCCAGAAAGAAGAGAAGATGAAGATATTTTATGTGTTGGATAATTCACAAAGAAGACTAGGAAGAAATTAATGATTAGCTAGATGAATTCTTGGTTAAGAATTGAGTGAATATGATGGCTAATGATCATCCTATTTATAGCATGAAAATGAGTTTAGTTTCATGACAAGTGTCTTACTTACTTGTCAATTTTCTTTCATGCAAGATGACAACACATGACTTACTTGTCAATTTTCTTTCATGCAAGATGACAACACATGTCATGCAAAATTACACTTGGCTTAGCAAGGCCATTTGTCAAATAATTTTTTAAATCAATACCACATGTAAAAACTCTTGCCATGTACCAATTATCTAAGAGTAATGGCCACTTGAAAATAGGTAGGATACTAGTAAAATAAAAAGACCCATGGCTATTGGTTGTAAATGGATTTGCAAAAAGAAATCTTTGACTTTGCATTATAAATAATACCAACAGCAAGACTTAGTTCAATTTCTCCTATAAATACTGCTGCTACTCTCCTTTCTTAAACACACCAACAATTCAAGAGTCTTTATTCTCTTGTCTTTCTCTCCTCCTGTATTGAGAGTATTTTGTAAGAGAGTTGAGTTTTGGAAAACACTTGTGTGATCCTTTTTCTTTGGAGTAATCTTGTGAGGTTATTCTCTCGGGGTTATTTAGGACTAATTAGAGTATTTACTCTAATTTTGTACTCTCTTTTATGCTCTTGTTGGTATAGTGAAATTGCTTCTCTTCGTTTGTGGACATAGGTCTCCTTGACCAAACCACGATAAATTTGTGCCTTCTTTATCTGCTTTAATTACCGCTATTATCAACTTGTATTATCTTTGTTATTGTCATTATAACGTTGTTTGGCTAAACTCTGCACTACCCGGGTTCCCGATCCTAACAAATTGGTATCAGAGCCAGATCTAACCGGATTAGTTTAAATAGCCAAAATGACTCTAACAAAGACTTATGTTGAGAAATTTGACCGAAGTGCAAACTTCGGAATGTGGTAATTAAAGATGGAAGCTATCCTAATTCAGGATGGCTTAGATTTGGCACTACAAGGAAAGGAGAAGAAGCCGGAAAAAATGACAGACGAGGAGTTTGCCGTCATTGACAAAAAGGCAAAAGCAGGTATCAGTTTAAATCTCTCAAATGAGGTTTTGCATGAAGTTGTTGCAGAAAGCTCAGCCAAAGGCATATGGGAAAAGCTGAAAACCCTATATATGAAAAAAATAGTAGAAAACAGGCTTTACCTAAAGCAAAAACTCTACACTTTTCGTATGGCTGAAGGTACCTCTATACGTACACATCTTGATACTTTTGATTCTCTTCTTATGGATTTAAGTAACATAGATGATGAAATCAAAGATGATGATCAAGCCGTATTATTGCTTGTTTCTTTACCCCAGTTGTTTTAGCATATAAGAGATACTATGCTTTATGAAAAGGATAATATCTCTTATAAAGATATCACATCTATTTTGAAATCAAAAGAACAAATAGATAGAGATATTACTGGGGAAACGAGCGGGAACCAAGGGGAAGGCTTGCTTGTAAGAGGTAGATCCAATAAGAAAGATTCAAGTAGTGAGAGACCTAAATCAAGGTCAAAATCCAGATACAGAAATGTCATGTGCAAATATTGTCATAAGACAAGTCACATTATTTCTGAATGCTTTAAGTTGAAAAACAAAGAAAAGCATATAGAAAAGAAAAATGAGCACAAAGATACTGACACTGCCAAAGCAAGTGTAGCTGCTGATGAGATTGAGGGAACTATTTTTTAGCAACTAATA